AGTGTTCCTTCTTTTCCTATTTTCTCCAGAGCTTTTAACACAAATGAATGTTATATCTTAACAAAAGCCTTTTCTGCATCAATGGTTCTTGTCCTTGGATCTGCTGATGTGTTGGATTACATTTATTGATTTACATATGTTAAACCATCCCTGCATCTCTGGGATGAAGCCTACCTGGTCAAAGTATATGATTTTTTTAATGTGTTTCTGGATTCTGTTAGCTATTTTGTTAAGGATTTTTGCATCTGTGTCCATCAGGGCGATTGGTCTGTAGTTCCCTTTTTTTGTTGGGTCTTTGCCTGGTTTGGGAATGAGTGTGATATTGGCATCGTAGAATGAGTTTGGGATAGCTCCACCCTTCTCTACTTCTCTGAAGAGCTTGAGGAGTATGGGTACTAATTCTTTAAAGGTCTTATAGAATACCGTTGTGAATCTATCTGGTCCTGGGCTTTTCCTTGTGGAAGACTTCTGATTGCTTCCTGTATCTCGTTGTAAGATGTTGGCTTAATTGACTTATTTCTTCTTTGCTCAGTTTGGGCAACTTGAATTTCTCTAAAAATGCATCCATTTCTGCTAGGTTTTCTTTCTTTAGAGTATAACTTTTGAAAATAGTTCTTTATAATTGTTTGGATGTCTTGGGTATTGGTTGTGATTTTTCCCATGGCATCCCTGATCTTGTTAATTTAGGTTTCCTCTTTTCTTAATCTTGCCAAAGGTCCTTCAATTTTATTTTCAAAAAGCCAGCTTTTTGTTTTATTAATTTTATTTATATTTTCCTATTTTCTATTTCATTAATTTCCACTCTTAATTTGATTGTCTGGCTCCATCTAGTAACTTTAGGTTCATTTTTTTTTTCATGTTTTTCTAGCAGTTTTAATTGCAACATGAGATTATTTACTTGGTCTCTATTTTCTTGATGTGAGCACTGAGGGTGATAAATTTGCCTCTTAAGACTGCTTTTGCTTGTGTCCCACAAGTTTCTTTGTGATGTGTATTCATGTTCATTGAATTGAAGGAAACTTTTAATTTCTTAATTTCTTCTGTTACCCAGGTAACAGAATACATGTCCATGTATTTAAGTAATTAATGTAATTTCTGCAGTATGTTTTGTTATTGGAAACTAGCTTGATTCTACTGTGGTCAGATAGGATACAGGGGATTATGTCAATCCCCTTGTATTTGCTTAAGTTCCTTACATAAACTATGATATGGTCTATTTTGGAGAAAGTTCCATGAACTTCTGAGAAGAACGTGTACTGTGTTGTTTTAGGGTGAAATACTCGGTAGATGTCAGTTAATTCCACTTGAAGTATGGCCTCACTTAATTCGGTAGCTTCTTCACCAATCCTCTGGTTGGTAGACCTGTCCTTTGGTCAGAGTGGGGTATTAAAGTCTCCTAGTATTATCGTATTTGCTTAACATATTTAGGTGCTCCAATGTTTGGGGAGTATAAGTTGATAAAGGTAATATCCTAGTCTTAGAATGTTCCCTATATTGGTATGTAGTGTCCTTGTCTTTTTGTACTGATTTTAATGAAAAGTTTATTTTGTCAGATATCAGGATAGCTACTCCTGCTTTCTTACTGGGGGTATTTGATTGGTAGATCCTTTTCCAACCCTTCACTCTGAGTTTGTATGTTTGACTGAGAGGTGAATCTTCTGAAGGCAACAGAAGGGTCATGTTTTCTGATCCAATCTGCAGTTCTTTTTCTTTTGATTGGTGAATTATTATAGAGAGATGCATCGTGGTCCCTGTCATTCCCTGTTTTCCTAAGTTTTTCTTCTTTCCTTTTCTCCTGTGCTTACTACGTTGGACTTCTATTAATACCTGTCTGGTGCGGGTCCCCATTCCTGGTTGCTTTCTTCAGGTTGTGTTCCCCCCTTAGTATTCTTTGTAATGCTGGCTTATAGTTTATTAATTCATTTACTTTTTCTTTACTATTAAAAATTTTAATTTCTCCATCGAATGTGAATGCTAGCTTTGCTGGATATATCAGTCTGGGTTGGCAGTTATTGGCTCTCAGGGCTCGTATGGTACTTTCCCAGGCCTTTCTTGCATTCAGTGTCTGTGTGGAGAGATCTGCAATGATTCTAATTTTTTCCCCATTGTAGTATAGCTCCTTCTTCATTTTTGCTGCATGCAGGATTGTTTCCTTATTATTCAGATCTATCATTTTTACTACAATGTGTCTAGAAGTGTTTCTCCTGGGATCCTGCTCGTTAGGTGCTGTATATGCTTCTGTTATGTAGGTAAGATGTTCTTTTTTAAGATGGGGGAAATTTTTATTGATAACCTTGTTGAATAGGTGTTGCATTCCCTTGCTTTGATATTCCTCACCTTCATCCACTCCAATTATACAAAGGTTAAATTTCTTGGCACTATCCGCTTGCTCTTGGATTTCCCTTTGGCATAATTTAAGTGGACTTTTTGGTCCAGTTGGTGCAATCTGTCTTCTGTATCTAACATTCTAAATTCCATTTCGCTCACTCTGTTAACTATGGCTTCCATTGTGGTTTGCATGGATGAAATGGACTCATTTATGGATTCGATGTTGGTTCTCAAAGTACTAATCTCACCTGAGGTTGTACTGCCTCTATTTTTGTGTGCATCTCCTGTTTGAAATCCTGCATCTCTTTTGATAGTTTGTTCCTGTGTTCTTTAAATATCTGATCTATTTCTTGCTTTAATTCTTGAGTCACTGCCTCCAGCATCTCTAGGATATAGCTTTATCTTCCATTCCTGCTTTGCTCCCACTGGGACTCTCCCCTGCGTGGCTGCTGGCTTTTGGGGGTAGCTTGCTATCCTAGGTGTTATTTAATAAACCTTGTAATTTTTCTCTTTGATTTTTGCATGGGGATTTAGGGATTATTGGAGACTAACCTGAAATTTTGTTTTGGTCAATAAGTGTCTGTCTTTGCTTGGTTGCTCTTCCTGGGTTGGCTGAGTCAGTCTGTACCTGGTCTTGTTTCTGTTGGGGGAGAGGCTGACCTCCAGCTACTAGTCTGACCAACGTAGGGTTCTTAGCTGTCTGCTGTAGATCACTGGCAGTTCCTGCCTTTAGAAGGACTAAGCAGCCTAAAATGCTCGTTTACTCCTACAGGTGCTCTTAGCAAGATTGAGGGTGCTGGATGTACTCTCCCAGTTGCTGGAGTCTGCTACGTTTTTTTGGTCGTCCGTAGGCCTGAACTCTGGGCCTGGGCGCTGTCCCTCAGCTCTTCAGCTCAAGGCTCATGCCCTAACATTTGAACCACAGCACCACTTCTGACCCTTTCTGCTTATGTGGTGCCGAGGAATTTGACCCAGGGCCTCATGCACACAAGGCAAGCACTCTACCGCTGAGTCACCTTACCAGCCTAAGCTCCTATTATCAGGTGCTGGCAGCCTGAGTTGTCCAATTCCCAGACTGGGATATATGGGTCTGGTTCTGGTGGGGTTTGGGCTTCTGGTTCTCTTGCCCTGCACACCCAGATCTTTTGTTGTCATGGTGTGATTCCCAGGGGGTGCAGTTCCGTTTTCCCCCCTCTGCTGAGGCATATGCGCAGCTTCTGACTTCAACCCGGAGGAGTTGGTTGTGTTGCTCAAGCACCGGATCCCCAGGCCTGGTCCTGGCTCCCAGTCCCCAGCCTGGGGCATTCCAGTTGTACCTATGCTGCTGTGTATCCTGCCTGGGTTACACAGCCTGAAGTACACAGGTTTCTTCCACTGTTGGCTGTGGTGACACATGGGTGCTGTTCCTAGCCCCTTCTAGGGGCATTCTTAATCTAGCCTGGCCAACTGGATGTGCTTCACATCCAGCTCTCAAACAGTTCCCAGTTTTAATGGGTCCTATAGTCCAGGTGTTGGGGTAGGGATCTGGGTCAAGATCTGGGGGTTACCCCAGCTCTGGTCTCCCTTGATGATGGACAGCTGTTCCCTGCGGGGTACTCACCCTGGAGCTAGGTGTTGTTTCTTTTTTCTTTTTTTGTTGCTAGAACCATTTTAATATAATTATACATATCTGCCAAATCCAAGGAAAAAAACGGTTTATGCATATATCTTTTCCAGTTAACATCTGCAAACATAAACGACAATGGTCTCAGTTTAAAAATTCATCAGGGTCAGAGCAATTGACCAATGTCTCTTTACTGCTAGGCTTACCAACAGTAAATTACAGATAAGTGTCCTTCTGTTGCTCTTCCCTCTCTTTCTCTCTCTCTCTCCTTGTCCAGAGACATTTTTGTCGTAAAGTTCTAGTGTAGCTCACCTCCAGCCAAAGGTAATCTTTAAATCGGTATTCAGTTGCTCTGAATTTTGCTTATAATTATAACCTATTTAATCACAGAAGAACTCCTGCAGAGGTTGAGTTCAAGGTTGCATACAATAATAGAAGATCACAGTTTTGAAGTCTAGCACAGATTAAAAACCACAGATGTACCATTTATGACACACACTGATTGTCTCTTAAACTACATATTGACTCTTTATGAACATTAAAAAAAAAATGTAGCGCATCTAGGACAATCTGTCGCACAATTCACACAGCCCTGAAGTTTTTCAGTGCTAACTACCAGTTGGTCATGAAACGTGAATGAGCTTGAGACCCTGTTCATTCCTAAGATTCAACCAAGGATTGGCTAAAACATTAGGCCACCTCCGCTTCTGAAGGCTCTGGCCTTCCCACCCTTCCCTCACAACTAAGTTTTGTTTTTTTTTTGTTTTTTTTTTTTAATGTAGTGTTGGGTTGCACATGGCTAGAATGTTTGATTGATCACTCTGGAAATCAGGAAAACCAATGATCTAAAACTATGACAGGATCTTAAGTAGAATGGTTTGTCCATTTCAGTTGCTGGTTGGTAACCCCTCTAAGGCCCTTCAATTTTTCTTCTATGCCTCTTGGAACTTTGATCAGGATTCTGAGCATCATCCCATCTAACTCTTTTAACCAATGCCTGGCTAAAACTGGAAATGTCCAGCCCAGCATATTTAAAAATAACCCCCCAAAAAAGAGGTTCTATAGGTCTTCACAAAACCTGGAATTTCCATGAGGATGTCTGATCTTTATAATCCAAGCAATCAGTGGTGGAGTTAAAACCCAAGCTTGAAGCTCCATATCCCTGGGTGGGAAGAGAAGCTGGGGACTGATTGAGATGGCTGGTAACTGCATTGGTACCCATAGGACTGAGTGTGGCCCCTGGTCCAGGAAGCTGGTGATGCATAGGGGTCAAATAAGATCCACAGTCCATGCCCCCAAAGTAGGAAGTTGAGCCAGCATATCCTTGACTATAACCTGAAGCCTGAGTATAGGTCATGGGATAGGACCTCTGCATGCAGGAAGAGGAGGTGGATAAGGGGTCTGACAGTGGGGAGATGGAAGCTGGGCTCCAGATAGACACAGGAGCACTGCTGCTGGCAATGGTGGGGACTGAGGTGCTAGAGAGGGGAGTGAACTGGCCACTTGTTCCACTCTCTGAACTCACTTCCTGAGGTGGAGATGTCTTCTTTTTGGCAGGCCTCACTTTATTTTGACCTCCATTCTGTTGTTGCTGCTGTTGTTGACGACACTTAGCTCTTCGATTCTTCTTCTTCTTTTTTTTTTTTTGTCGGTCGTGGGGCTTGAACTCTGGGCCTGGGCGCTGTCCCTCAGCTCTTCAGCTCAAGGCGAGCGCTCTACCGCTTGAACCACAGCACCACTTCCGGCTTTTTTCTTATTGCTTATGTGGTGCTGAGGAATCGAACCCAGGGCCTCGAGCATGCAAGGCAAGTGCTCTACCACTGAGCCACCTTCCCAGCCCAGCTCTTCGATTCTTAAACCATACCTGCACTCTGGATTCGGGCAAGTTGATTTTCAGAGCCACTTCCTCCTGCATGAAGATGTCTGGGTACCGGGTTCTTGGCAAACAGCGCTTCGAGCACATCGAGCTGTGCACAGTTGAACGTGGTCCCCTCCCGCTGCTGTTTCCGGGGTGTGGCGGGGTACCCCACGGAGGAGTGCAGCAAGTCCATACCCAAAGTGGTCAGACTCAGCCCATTGACTGCGTAAGGCGGTTGCTTAAGATAAGACATCATGCTAAGGTTGTTTGGAGGAGCAAAGTTGGCCCAAATGGGGGGAACCCAGCCAGAAGGTCTCGATTCGCCTGTGATGGACAGGTTCTGGGTTCCTTGGTGGGTGGGTGGGTTTGGCGTGGAGGAACTAAAAGCAAAGCAAGCAAACAGAGGTGCTAGTTCCCTGTGTTGGAGGCCACAGTTTCTCCTACGTTCCACCACTAAATAACTGCAAAGAGCTGAGGCCGGGTAAGGCACACAGGCTTTTAAAGGACTTGCAGATTCCCTCCCCAGATGCTCTGAAACTCTAGGTGTTGTTTCTGTGTGATGTAGGTTGCTCGTTGCTGCTGCAATCAGTGTTTGGTTGAGATGCTTGTGGGCTGGGCCAGGCAGTGGTGGCTCTGCCTCTGTTGATGCTGTCCCAGCAGGCACGCAGCACAGGAGGTGCAGGCGGGCTGAGCAATGCGGGCTAGGTTGTATGGTGCTTCTGGGCTGGGCCGGGTGTTGGTGGCTCTCTGTCCGTGTTTCCCTTCTGTCTCTCTCTGCCTCTGTTGATGCTGTTCAGGTCGGCGCCACACCACTAAGATTTTTAAGGGGCCCTAAAAAGGTGAATTGATTTAAGGATCTGGCATGCCTCTTCAAATGTCCCTTCAGACTGACCAGAACCCTTCTCTGTAAGCCAATCCACAGGCCCAACAATGCTGCTCCAGAGACTTCTCTCTCCTTTTTTAAAGCCTAGTATTTGTCTTTACTACAATATTCTAATGACTCTTCTCCCTCCTTTGAATTAGTAGTTATCTAAAATCTGTCTCTCAAGTCATCCTGAATTTATGGCAGGTACACAACTGATCTAACTGTAAGTGAAGATTCTAACAGTTGTTTGGATAGGATTCTTTCAATCTTCAGTCAAATGGAGTTTTCATCATGTGTTATTTGCCCTTTTTTCTTTTTAATTAAAAAATCCATTTGTTAAGGAAGTACATTTTTCCTGAGCGTCCATCAAGGAGCAAGGCCTCAGGCTAGGGCAGACAGAGAGAAGGGGGGGCACCCAGAGTGACTGTGCCTTTAGGTATTTGCCTGTTAAGGGAGGTCCATTCTGCAGACGAGTGCCATACATGCTTTAATTTTTATTTTTACACTTAAACATCACAATTCAGGAAGTGGAAAACAAAGTAAAGTAATGAATAAAGACCTGGCATCTTCTCCCTGCTAATGGGGCCCCTGGCCATCAGGAAACTAAGAGCACAGGCCAGAATCTGGGCAGCAATGTTTTTCCCTGTTAAAACCTGAGGTTTGCATCACCACCTAGAAATGGACTGTTTGAATTCTTTAAATAACAGTTTTTAGCATGTAGAGCAGGCTCCATGTATAAATCTATTCAGGATGCCAAAACAAAATACGAAAGACTAAGTGACTTAAACATGAAAAATTTATTCATACAGTTTTGAAAGCTGAGTCCAAGGTGCCAGCTGATACAGTCAGTTCTGGTGGGGACCTCATCATCTCGTTGTGTTCTCACATGGCAGAGAGAAATCATCCTCTTCTTACAAGGCCAGTGAGTCTACCAAATCAGGGTCTCATTCTTATGACCTCATTTAACTTTATCTTTTAAAAGCTTCATCTCCAAATACAGGCACACCAAGATTAGGCTTCAACAGCTAGTTTAGGAAAATGAAGTCCACAGTACTTCATGCTGAGAAGTTCTCCGGTAAGGTCTAACACTTCTGACTGATGCGGTCATACCAAGAGAATGTCAGGCATTGTCACAGGTGGTACAAACTTACATTAGACAGAACAAGTAATATCTTGGAAAATGCTGAAAGCTCTTTCTGGCAGCAGAAAGTCAGTAACATCACTTCTTTTAAAACTGCAGTTTGGAGCAGACATCTAAAGCACTCTAGTTCAAGGGTTAAAAATCAACCCTCATCACTCTCAAGTCTAACACTAAAGCTATCAAATCTTAAAAACAAAACAAGTTTATTTACAATAGTAAATGTTGACTGATTTTATACTTCCTACAATATTAATGCGGACAAGAGTTTAAAATATGGCAAGGTATGTGCTGCTTATCCCCCCCCCCCAATTATAATTTCCTTAGCTTTGACGTTTGGTCATGACTTTATGTAGAAGTCACATGAGACATGGTCACATAACCATTGGCTGCGGATTTCCAAGGAGCAAAGGTGCTAATCTGAGCAGAGCTCGCACAGGCATCTTCAGCTGTTTAAATCTGAAGAGGAGTTCAGCAAAGCTTGTGCTTCCTGGAGAATGAGAAATGGAGAAACAAGTCTCTAAACAGACCCCGCCACATATCTTCCAAGAAGTGCAGACATAACATGCTTAAAGTAGCATTCTTCTCTGAACACAAAGACCAGATCCAGACATGAAGTTCCAGACACATTTTAAAATTTTAAACCTAGTCTGTAGTTAAGAAAAGGGCTTACAGTTATGTGTGAAGTTGTTCAATTACCATTATTTAAATAGTAAATTTGCCTCTCTAGCCCTCAATTCCTATTTAAGTGATTTTTAAACCTGGTCCTACCACTTTCAATTCCTAATCTATAAACACAACCTTTTACCTGAAAATAGAAAGCAGGCTTAAAATAAGTAACAGAAGTTCCTCTGAGTAGCAACAGTTCTCAACCTTGGTCCAACAGCAATTATATGTAACTCATGGAAGTGCAACCTGGGCATCTAGGGTTTTGAAAATTGCCCAAATGATTCTGCTGGGCACCAAAGGGAAACACGGTGTATTACCTGAACTTAAATATTATCATCTTTTTCATCTCCAAACCACCAGCCCCAGTGTCAAAGTTAATACTCCCCTATTTTGTTGTATGTCTTATAATTTCTCATTGTACACCAAACATGGTTTCACCCTACTTTTTTTTTTTTCTCTTTTGGTACTGGGGATCGAACCCAGGATGTTGCACTTGTTAGGCAAGCGCTTTTGCCACTGAGCTACATCCCAGCCCATCACCCTACTTTTTTGAGATAGGGTCATGCTAGATAGCCCATGTAGGCTTTGAGCGCCATCCTCCTGCCTTGGCCCTTCAAATGCTGGGGTTGTAAGTATGCACCACCAGGACTAGCCAAGTTTTATCTTTTTCAAGTGCTATTTTTGTATTCTAGCATTACTGAACTTTGTTCTGGGATATGGTTAAATTACATGAAAAGCAATTTGGCCCTCATGTTGTGCTTTTAGGATTTGTTAGGTAGGACCAGAACTCTGTTTAGTTTAGGCTATACTTCCTACAACTGAGGCAAGACCATGAAGCTATGGAACAGACTATTCTCAGCCTCAGATAAATAATGGACAAGGTCGGGCTGGGAAAGTGGCTCAGTGGTAGAGCTCTTGCCTTGTGTGCACGAGGTCCTGGGTTCGATTCCCCAGTACCACATAAGCAAAAAGGAAAAAAGCTGCAAGTGGCGTTGTAGCTCAAGTGGTAGAGCACTAGCCTTGAGCTGAAGAGCTGAGGGACAGCATCCAGGCCCAGAGTTCAGGCCCACGACCGGACCCAAAATAAAAATTAAAAAAAAAAAAAACAATGGACAAGGTGCCCCCAAAAACATTTGGGTAGCTCTTCTACCTAGGTAGAAGAGCTAGTGGTGACCTAGTGGTCACCTAGTGGTGACTAGCAAGTTCTCTTCTGATACTCAAGGGGGAATCCTCTACAAAAGTGTGACATTCTCTGTTGCTCTCTTTTCTCTGATACTCATCTTGCAAACAGAAGTCTGTGTTCCCAGCTTCTCCTCAACCCAAGCTCTGCTTGGGTTCCCTCTTCCTCCCCTCTAAGCTGGAAATTCAAAGAATTAAGTTGGGGCCATGATCACAAGGCTCTTCTTACCTGTTTCTCATTTCAAAACCCACAATTTCATAAGTATTATCCAATATTTCTGGACTATCCTACCTTCAAAATAAAATCTGTGCTTTCAAATTCTTTCCTTTTAGTAATCTATTTCGTGACTGGTTATGGTTTTGTGTTCATTCTGCTTGGGTCTTTTCTAGGTTGACGGGCATCACCCATTTTACAAAATTTCTAGCCCCTGTTTCTTTAACTATTGCTTCTATTCAAATCATTCTGTCTCTCCTCTTATTCTATGATCACAACTACATATTTCTGTGATTTTCTTCTTTCAGGATTTCAAGTATCATTTGCATTCTTTTGTTTTTCTATCCCCTCTTCTTTCTGAGAATTTATGTACTTTCTACTTGCTATTTGCCCATTTCATTTACCTGCTATCTATTATGCTAAACTAATACATATACTGAATTTATAACTTCAATTATATTTTTCAGCTCTATAATTTCCACTTAACTTTACATTGTTTTTATACCAGTACTAAGGCATAACTCAGGCGCTATCCCTTAGCACTTTTGTTCAAGGCTAGTGCTCTACTACTTTAACCATGGCTCCACTTTCAGCTTTTGGATGGTTAATTGGAGATATGAATCTCACAAACTTTCCTGCTAGGGCTGGCTTCAAACCATAATCCTCAGATCTCAGCTTCTAGAGTAGCTAGGATTACTGGTGTGAACCACCAGTGCCTGGCAACTTTTTTTTTTTTGGGGGGGGGGGAAGGGAGGTCGATCATGGGGCTTGAACTCGGGGTCTGGGTGCTGTCCCTCAGCTCTTCAGCTCTGTGCTAGTGCTCTGGCACTTGAGCCACAGAGCCACATCTGGTTTTCTGAGTGGTTTATTAGAGATAAGTCTCAGGGACTTTTCTGCCGGGGCTGACTTTGAACCATGATCCTCAGATATCAGCCTCCTGAGTAGGATTACAAGCGCCTGGCCAACTTTCTTTTCTTTTTTTTTTTAAATTATGAGTTTCTGGTAATATTCTTTATCTTTCCTCAATCTTTTTTTTTTCATGAAAGTATTAGTAATAGCCATTTTAAGTCCCAGTCTGTTAATTCCATTATTGGGACAAACATGTTTATTCCTATTATCTGTGGGTTTTTCTAGTCCACTGTTTTTTTTTTTTGTTGTTGTTGTTTTGGTCTTGAACTCAAGCTCTAACACTGTCCCTAAGCTCTTTTGCTCAAGGCTAGTACTCTGCCATTTTGAGCCACAGTCTACTTCCAGTTTTCTGGTGATTTGTTGGAGATAAGTCTCACAATCTTTCCTACCTGGGCTAGCTCTGAACTGCGATCCTTAGATTTCAGCCTCCTAAGTAACTAGGAATACAGGTTTGAGTCATCAGGCACAGCTTCTATAGAGTCCAGTTTTTATTCAAAATGAAACCTATTAAAAATATAGAGGATCTTCCTCAAACAGAGGTTAACTTTTATTCTATCAGGCAGGCAAAAGGTAACACAGCCCTTACTTCTACCTGGGCCTGCTGTATTTTTACTCTCTCAAAGAGTTGGTCTACCATTATTCCAAAGGCTGAATGCTTAGCATAGTCACTGCACTTTGGCCAGTTTTGAACTCCACCCTCTGTCTCCTTGCCATCACCCTGCTGCTGACATTAGTGCTCACATGTTTGGCCTTTTGCTTCTGCCAGATAATATCCTGAAGCATGTTAGTATGCATACGTAGGCTAAGATGAAGTAAGTGCCTCAAGAAAATAGCACACCCAGGATTTTGAGTGGTAATCCCCACTGTTCCTTCCCACCTAAGATTTTACTCCTGAGGTTCTAGGCTCCTGAGCAATCACACACCCAACTTGTAGCCAAGAACACCACTGCTTTGTGGGAAGCTAGAGTAAAAACAGAGTAAATTCTCCCCACCACCCTTTCTCCTTTCTCTGGGCATGGCTGCATTCCAGCAAGTCCCACCAGCATACTACCACCAGTTCCTTTCTATAGTTACTGCATATGTTCTGTCTGGCTTTTATATTTGCTCCCATGGGACAGTCCATCCAAAGCAAATCATTCCATCATTGTCGCCATGTAGTGTAATTTTATCTAAGGTTTTCAAAACAGTAATATCTCATTCAGCGTCTAAGTGATTAATTGAACACTTTCATCCTTTTCAAACATTTTTTTAACCCTCAAGAGATAGTGATTTGAGATTGCTATAAATAATTATGGATACTTAGAATTTATGGTATTTTATTATTCTCTTTATTAGATAAACCTTGTTTCCATATTCTGAAAAACGTAGTTAGGAGGTAATACTATATATTTATGTATTTATATATTTATATATAGTATATATAATAGTTTATAATCTAGTATTTATATATATAGTTATATAATTATATATTTATGTAATATATGAGATGTGAACATATAAAAATTATGTTATTTTAAGCTTTGATAGTAGAATTTTAAAAAACTGAAGAAACTTAGAAAAGATTAGTAAACAATACAAGTTTAGAATGTTCAGCTCTGAAATAAAAGCTATCCTTTTCTCAATTATAGGAAGTATACAGAATGTGTAAAAATGGTTCAGTTTGTTTACAGAAAAAGTGTTCAACAATGATAACAAATCACCAAGATTTAAGTCTTTAGAGAGAGAACTGCACTAGAAATTCTTTGTTCGAAGAAACTAAAAACCTGTATGTAAGAGAGATGCTGAACAGGAGTATGTATGCAATTACCTTCTAGTCCCATTGGTGGCAGGTGCCTGGGAGCAGGCACAGCATGGTAGACAAGGAAGCAGGCCAGCATGTTCAGCTGAGACTCCTCCACAGGCTGCCCGCTGAGGTAGGCCTGTACACACACATCACCTCCACCTGTGCAAAAAACACAAAAGGAGCTGAACCTACTGAGGACAGATCTAAGTGGCATAGGAATGTATAAGAATGCCTTGTTTGCATTACTTTTTTAATCAGGAACTTGCTGACCCTATCCTAATGTGTTTCCTGCAAGTGAAATGAATCACGTATTTCACTAAATATGCATGAATGGCCCCATTCTATAGGAATTGCACTTAGGCTTAGAGAGACTAAGTAGCTTGTCTAAAGACAACAAAGCATCTCACAACAGTTTTAAGAGGATCAAAAAGGCTAAGATGCAGCCAAAAGATAGCAACTGGATGAATGCCTACAAAAGTCAATGTTTGAAGGCTTGGAATATGGCTTAGTGGTAGAGTGCTTGCCTAGCATACATGAAGCCCTGGGTTCCATTTCTCAGAACCACATACACAGAAAAAGCTGGAAGTGGCACTGTGGCTCAAGTGGTAGAGCACTAGCCTTGAGCAAAAGAAGCTCAGAGACAATGCCCAGCCCCAGAACTGGCAAAAAAAAAAAAAAAAAAGTCAATGTTTGAGCCAGGCTCAGTGGTTCAAGCCTCTTAAGTTAGATGGAAGGTAGGCAGGAAGAATGTAAGGCTGATGGTTCATAGCAAGGTCCTGCCTCAAAATAGAAAAGAAAATAAAGATTAAGTATATGGCTCAAGTGGTACAGTTCTCCCACAGCAAGCATGAGGCCGTGCAAGATAAAGGCGAGCAGATGGGAGAGAAAGAGAGATGAAGGGAGAACTACAATCTTAAATAATGCTCGCCTTAGGCTGAAGAGCTGAGGGACAGCGCCCAGGCCCAGAGTTCAGGCTCCACAACTGACAAAAAAAAAAAAATCTAGACCATAAAAAAAAAAAGCAATCTAGATGTAGCTATTAAATATAAACATTGAAGAATATGAAACTGTTGCTTCCCACATAACTGTTCAAAATTCAGTTTATAGTTTCGTATTTTTCAAAAATCTATTTTGTTGTATTACAGTGGAATCGTTTTTGGCTGAATTATATTCAAATGCTTAAGTTCAATTCTTCAAGAAACAATGTTTCTACTGATATTACAAAGATTAGTATTTACCCAAAGCAGATTGCTGTCAAATATTTACGGGAAGATAAACTAAAAAGAATGAAAAAAGCAAATAGCTGACTACTGAAAATCATTTTCATATAAGAAAAACAGAGACAATACATTTCTACAAATCAAAGGCCACAACATTTGCCTTATGTAAGGCAATCATTCAGAATCTTCACAAGTTCCTGGTAGTCACAAATTAGTAACTTCCATTGGCAAACAGTCACTGTCACACGACACCTCAGGTTTGCTCACACAGTTGGTACAGCAAACACTATTAATAAGCACTCATCTAAGTGTCCAAAGGAAGAGGCACAAAATAGGAAAGGAAAAGTTTACACATCCAAGAAACAGAAGATAGAGATATTGAAAAAAGAAACAATCTGATGCTAGGAAAGATAAGACAAGGTTCTAATGTGAAGTGGTACTTAAAAAGTTGTTTATATTTTCTGCAAAATTTATAAAGCAGGTAAGATCTTGACTGCCAAAACTGTCAGAATAGAAAAGCCTTGGAGCCTGGTGAATCTCAACCCCTGGCCCACTTGCTTTTACTTCTGGGGGAAAAAGACCTCCACTCCACTTGAGCCATGCCTACAATCCTTTTGCTTTTGTAGTTTGTTTTTCAGGTAAGTTCTTGCTTTTGTCCAGGGTAGACAATGAACCATGATTCTCCTAATCCTCTTTCCAAGTAGCTGGTATTACAGGGATATACCACCACTCTTATCAAGTCCACTATATAAAAAAGCACAAGGGCACAGTACTAAAATTACCTTGTAGCCACTGGTCCAGAGTGTTATCAATAGTACACTTCACCACTGGCAGGAATTCAGAGTTCATAAAAAGCCCTCGCTTAGGTTGGTTCTGAAGCCGCTCCTGATGGCTTCGGGAGCTAAAAAACTCTAACACCAACTTTATCTGCCAAAGGTCAGATGTATCAGGTATTTCTCTTTTTTTAAGTCCTCGTAAAGCCTGTAAGAAGGAAGAGAAATAACAATCCAGCCAATCTCCTCAGTGAAACACAGGTGGGGTACAAAGACACAGCAGGAGTAGGCTAGGAATCCCAGGGGGCAGAAAGAAGGCAAACACAATACTACTAATCTTACAGCTCTTCAAACCCACCTCTAAAGTCACTATGGCTGCAAGGAGAGGTGACATTACCCTATGGAGATTCCCCTTGATTATGAAGGGGTAAGGGTCCCAGAAGGTAAAGGAGGTAACAAATACTCAGCCACCAACCAACCACCATGCTTTTGCTGCTGTGTAGAGAAGGGGCTATATAAGAAGCAATGCAGCACAGATAACACAGATCATACTGTCCAACTGAGAAAGGGTAGATTCCACACAATACCAGGGCTCTGAGCCCATTTGTTTTTACACCAACATGGCTTTTAATTAATATACTTAACACACTGACTTTCAGGTTTGGAGAGTTACTTTGTCTAAATGTCTTTACTTCTCCACTTAGCTTTCCAGTAGATTATTTTTAGCAGAATTGTTTTTTAAGCTTCAAATACTGGGTCTCATATATCAATCTAAGAACTTCTACTCAATTGAAGAGCATTTCAAAACTACAAATTTTGGATTTTGTCCCAAAAATTTTAGTTCAATAGATATGGAATGACACTGTCCAGGCCCTAGTTCAAGCTCTAGACTGGCACCAACTTCCCCCCACAAGGCTGGGAAGATGGCTCAGTGGTAAAGCACTTGCCTTGCATGCTTGAGGCCCTGGGTTCGATTCCTCAGCACCCATAAGCAAAAAAAAAAAAACAAGCCAGAAGTGGTGCTGTGGCTCAAGTGGTAGAGTGCTAGCCTTGAGCTAAAGAGCTGAGGGGCAGCGCCCAGGCTCAGAGTTCAGGCCCACGACTGGACCCAAAATAAAAACCAAAACAACTTCCCCCCACAAAAAAAAAAGAAAGAAAAGAAAAACTAATGGCTTAGCTTAACTGCAAATCAAGAAACTATATATGTTCTAACAACATGAAGTGAGTAAGTAAGATCCTTAAGAATGCTGTTAAGCATTAATCTCTACAGTACCTCTGTTAGGCTCTTTTAAAATAGAAGACTCAGGGGCTGGGAAGGTGGCTCAGTGGTAGAGCGCTTGCCTTGCATGCATGAGGCCCTGGGTTCGATTCCTCAGCACCACATAAGCAGAAAAAGCCG